AAAGGTTGATTTGTGGACAGAAAAACCAAGGTTTCAGGTCATATGTTTAAAGTACATACTATGTCGAAGAAGAATAAGAGTAAGAATGAGCTTTAATTATATTTACCCCATTGTCAGGTAGCATTATGTGTTTGTATTTTGTTTTTAAATTTCAGTCACTGGAAGGTGGAAGTTTTATTCAAACGTCAAGCTCACCGGTCCTTACCAGAACCTCTGTGTCCTCAGTCCTGCTGGTATTGATTGGAAAATACTCAGCCTTTTGTTCTGTTGTGGCTCCATCCAGTCCAAATGTCCTGGACTTTTAATCTTTTCCTGAAATAGACACAGAAATCACCATGATGTGGTATTTTCACGGCTCCCACAGCACGTGGTATCTTTTATCTCTTCTTTGGTGTTGGAGACGTCACCCTGGTACTGGAGGTCCCCAGGTTGTCCCTGGTCAACTGGACTGAAGGCCTTTGAAAGTACTTCACATCATTTTCTCCCTAAAACAACAGGCGGTCATCGTCAGCGTGCAGTGACCTTTCTTTCTCTGAGGGACAGTAACAAGTCAACATACCATAACATCGCAAACAGACCTTCAGAGCAACAGCAGATTAACATTTAACCTAACCTAAACTACCGTATTTTCTTGACTATAAGTCGCACTTTTTTTTTCATTCTTTTGCTGGGTTTGCGACTTATATATTAAAATATATAATTTCACATTTGTTATTTTTACACTGGCAGACACTAGAGGGCACTCTAGGCTTGTGTAATAGTATCTGCTACTCCTATACCACCGAAAATTTACATGTTTGTTATTTTCACCCTGACATTCACTAGAGGGCATTGGAGCGACTTATGCTCTGGGGCGACTTATAGTCCGAAAAATACAGTAACCTTATCTCACCTAATCTAAGCCTGATGGGATCTGACTCATGAACGAAAATACAGTCAAATATGTTTTATAAAAACTAAACCCGTAGTTCACTGGGATTTGTGGTTAAATGTGGAAGGACATTTAAAAAAAATACTTATTAGTGTTTTACATTTTGTTTGGTAAATATTTGGTGGTATTCATTTTGTAGATTGGACTGAAAAGGCCCTGGGAGAACATTCTGGGCGTTTCCCTAATTAACAAGAGCGTCTTTCTATGGCAGGTTTGGATATCGCTCAATACTTGGATATAAAGTTTGTCCAAACTGTGTCTTTCAATTTAAAAAGAACGTTTTCAGCACAAGATACCAAAAAAACCCGAGTGCAACACTGAAAGTTCAAACATCATTTAGGTTTTTTTTCAACACTGAAAGTTCAAACATCATTTAGTTTTTTTTTTTAAGTAGCCTGGAGTGATCTTTGTCCATAAAGAGTGAGGGTGAAAACCACAGCTACATGTCCACGACCTTCCAGGATCATTGAAATTCTACAGTCGAACACTGCATTAAAAAAATCCCAGCAGTCAGGACAACAGGTGTCTGTGTACTGCATACTTTATAGAGGTTTTGACAGTGTGTAGTTGGCCGCTGTGTGTAGTATTACTATAGTCACACAATATTCATTTTAACCACCGTGAATTTGGCCCTGAATGAGTCACAGGTGAATTTCCTAATTTTACCGACTTTTATCGTTTTGGCTGAAGATGAACTGGAAGTCATCTTGGTTGAACTGCAGTTCCTCCATCGAATGTCTTGATGACATTTCTGTCGGTCTGTTATCAGGACAACCACAGACAAAGGAAACCTAGACAGGAAGAAGTCGGGGATAATCAGCTGGAGGTCAATGCAGCTACTGGGTATTTACTGCTGTGGTTGTTGGTAAACAAAGAGACGCTCTCGAGTCAGTTGGCTGTTTACAAAGTCACACAGCTCAGACTGAACCTGAGCAGGAACACCAGGAGAGAGGCATGGGAATGTTTGTCACAGTGAGACGGGTACAAATGTCCAGAGACGTGAGACAGGGGCGTGAAAAAAAACAAGACCCAGGTAGAATGTATCAGGTGTGGCGCAGGTAATTACTGGTGGGAAAAAGAGAACTGTGTTACACAAAATGAAACAGGGAAGGTAACGTGATTTATCTGCTGAGGCTGAAAGAGACAGATAGTGTGTGAGAATGTGGAGACTGACTTGTATCCAGGGACATCGTCTGCCCAGGAGCATGTCCATGTAACCAAATGTCTGCATCACTTACCAGGTGACTGCTTGTTGTGTGTGTGTGTGTGTGTAAATGCAGCATTGTGTTCTTTAAGTGAGGGGCTGGATGTTCTGCCTGGTTGGTTGATGGACATACAGTGTATGTGCTAACTCAGTGTGAAGACAAGGTCACATTGTCTTTGACTGTTACTTGTGCAGTGTTTCCCAGACTTTTATTCTGGAGACCCATATTTTAAAGTCACAAACTTCGCGACCCAAGTCAAGAGACATCGTAAACTCCTGGGAAACATGATGTGAGATGACCCAAAAAAAATTTTTTTTTTGATCCTCCTGGGGTTGCAACCCAGTCTTTGGGAAACAGTGTACTAGTGTATTTGTTAATTTACTTGATTCAAAACCCCCTCACCGTCGTGTTTGCTGCTCTCCGCAGAAAAAGAAGTCCTGAACTTCACCCTGTCCCCACGGGTGACAACACACCCCCCCAAAGAAGGCAGAACCGGCAGGAAGAGCTCCAGTGCGGCGGCTGGAGATTTGCTACACTCACTGCTCGGTCAAAAAGGACGACTTGTCTCCCAGAGAGGGGAGGTCTTCTCCTCCGCTCTGCCACAGAACCTGCTCCCTCTCCTGGACGGCATCGGCTCCATCCCAGGGAGTCGTTCCGTGGAGCGTGAAAGCGGGGGATTACTACGAAGGGTGTCGGCTTCCGTCTCAGGCCTTGGCGGCGACCCCGATGTTTCTGCTTCACCTGCGGACACACACTCCCTGCTTCCTCACACACAGACGCAGGCTACAAAGAAGGAGGCCGAAGTCACCACCACGACCACCAGGCTGAATGTGGACACTGAGGGAGGGGCGCCCTCTTCAGGTCAGAGGAAGGTTAACTTCTCTGGGACAGACCTCTCTAAATCCTATAGCTGCTCTTATTGACAACGCTAACGTTATTTAGCATGAGGTTTTCTTTATCAGCTAGCTGAATGTGACAACCAAGAAAAGTCAGATGGTGCTGTTGTTTCATTCTTTAGCAAATGTTTGGACAAAAACAAAACAAAATGAAATCATTATAAAAGGAAGCAAAGCTGCCGTTAGAAACTCTGAGGATGATCGAGGCGGAAAGATTAGCAGAATTAGCTAAGCTTAACCAAACCTGGAGGAGACAGGGTATTGTAAGATAAAATCAAAATAACACGTGAACAACGTCATTAAATGTTGGTCTGAGTGAAAAGTCAAGAAGTTTGTAGATTAAAAAAAAAACAGTCTACCCTTCAATAAACAAAATTTTTTTTTGCGTTTATTGAGGGGTACACAGGTGAAACAAGATGCTCCAGTCGTTTTCCTCTGAACTTTAAGTCAAAACTCACTGGACGTTCAGTCCTTTGTGACTGTGGAGTACTTTCAGCAGTATTCCCACTTCCACCACAGCAGTTTTAATTAACAGCTATAGTCCAACAGCTCATGTAAAGAGGAGGCGGACTTCACTTCAAGTAAATGATACTCTAACGAGGTGGAAGTGATTGATAAGAAGCTGGATAAAAACGACATTTTGGGTTTTTTTTCCTTCTTGTTTCGTTCACGCCAGTCAATTTACAGAAATCCAAAAGTCAAAATTCACATTTTACAGACTGTGTGCTGTTGATGGTAAACAGATACAAATTAGATACAATATTGTTGAGAACAACAGCCTCACTGAACCATGGAAACAAACTCTTAACCAAAGCCGTCATTCACGTTCACAGTAATAACATTTCAAGTTTAATTTGACACATTTGTCCGTATGGATTAGTCCGAAATAAAAACAGCTGTGAAACACAGACATCTGCCTGATGGTATTTATCTTTCTGGTCCAGTCATATACAGAAAAAAAAAAAGTGGATTTATGACTATTACTATCCTGACTTACTGTAATATGATTTGTCATGATAAATCCAAACTTACCCTTTGATTTATCTGACAGTTACAGCAGGTCATGGGAATAAAGCTGCACTGAATATATATATATATTTATATAAATATATATATATACATATGTATATATTTATATAAATATATAAATATTTATATAAATATATATATATACATATGTATATATTTATATAAATATATAAATATTTATATAAATATATATATATACATATGTATATATTTATATAAATATATAAATATTTATATAAATATATATATATAT